AAGTTTATCACATATTTATTTGCTATTTGTATTCCTTCATCTGAGAAATGTGTATTCATCTCAAATATCCATTTTTAGTTGTATCTTTTAAGTTTGGTGGGGGTACCGATGTTTTCTAATTCTTTATATATTCTAGACATAGGTCCTTTGTTTGAGGGACAACTGACTATAATCTTTTTCCCACTCTGTAGGTTGTCTTTTCACTTTGTTGATAATTTCTTTGGTTGTATGAAAGCATTTTAATAAGGTGAAATCCCATTTATTAATTCTTCATTGTATTTCCCATGCAGGCTGGGTTCTAGGGAGGAAACTGACCAAAAGAAAAGAAAAACCGTGATGGGAGAAAGGGAAAGGAAGGAAGAGTAAGGAAAATATATATATATACATACAGAAGACAGCTAAGGTAGTTATGCAGCTGGTTTCTCCTGGTTCACTGAGGGGAAAGTTCTGTGCTAGTAATTTTCTGGGCAATGTTTCATGTCTATATCTTGTACTCTGAAGAACTACTGTGATTATAACAATATACAGTGTGTTGATTATTGTTACTCCCCCACTATCCTGTTTTGAAACTCTGCTTTATTGTTGTTTCTTGCCTTTTCTGTTTAAAATGAATTTAAAAATAGTTTAGATATACACAATGGCTCATTCATTGTAGGGAATTAGTACCTGCACATGACACACCTTGATTCTTTTCTTTTCCATTCCCTCCCCTTCCTTCAACCATTCTTCTCTCCACCCCATTTACAAAGATCTCTTTCCATTTCATTCTTCTTTTCTCATCTTTCTTTTCCCTTACTTCTTTACCTCCTCTCCTCCAGTTCCCCTTTCCTTTTGTACAATTTCTTCCTATTTCACAATATCTATCATGGATTTTTGTTCTTATTTACACTTTCAGTTTCTCATACTAGAGAGACGATATGATATTTATACATATATCCAACTTATTTTACTTAAGAATCCAGCCTTAATGTGCATTCATTTTGTTAAAAGTGTCTCAATTTTATCTTTATTTATGGCTGAGTAGTACTCCATTTTCTTTTTTGTGGTGGAACTGGGGATTGAACTCAGGCCCTTGTGCTTGCCAGGCAAGTACATATTCTACTGAGTAAACTCTCTGGCTCCAATACTCCATTAAAAAAAATCATAAATTTTTTTTTGTCCATTCATCAGTTTATGGTCATTTGTGTAGTTTCCAAGATTTAGCTACAAAAAAAACCTGTTCTGCTAAGAAAACATAGGTATGCATATATCAGTGTTGTATACTTCTTTTAATTTTGGGAGGAAGATACCAAGAAGAGGAGGAATAGCTGACTCAAACTGGACCTTAGTCTTAGGTTTTTGAGGAATCTCCACACTGAATTCCACAGTGTTTGTGGCAGTCTGCACACCCACTAACAATGAAGAAGGGTTTCTTTTTCTCCACATCCCTGCTAACATTTGTTATTGGTTGATTTCTTGATAATAGCCATTCTTTTGGGAGTGAGATGGAATCTCGGAACTGGTTTGATTTATATCTCTCCAATGATTGTATTGTTGAATACCTTTTTCTTAATTTTATTGAGAAACAGCAATGAGACAGTTTCAAAACTGATTAATGGGACAGTTTCAATAATTAATACACTGCATATTGTTATCTTCTTAGTGGTTATTCATAGTACAAGATGCAGCATAATATCTTATCCAAATATTATTAGTATAAAACTTTCTTCTCATTGAATTAAGAGAAAGTAGCTGCATATATATCCTATTTTATATATACAGATACAAAATGTTCTTCATTTGTATCCCCTTTATTTGATTAGTTTTATTAGACATGGGTATTCCATTGCTATTTAAATACTATAGGTGTATGAATTCAGCAAAATAATCCAATATAGTCCAGTAGTCCATAATAGTAGTGGGTCATTCACAGGACTGGCAATTTCAGAAATTGTTGACCTGAGCCCTTTACAGCCCAGCATACCAACATGGCTTCACCCCTTATACCTCATTGTTTTGTTTTTGTTTTTACTTTTCTGCTGGATGGACAAGACCAAGATAGAGCAAGACCTATATAAAAAGAAATGTAACTTTTGTATCTTATAAGTTCAATCAAGTCCCCTCAGGATTTATCCTGAAACCCTGCACTGCACTTTGTAGATCCTTTGTCAGTGTCAGCCATGTGGATGATTCACGGCCATTGCTTGACCAATTTGCTCTCTGTGAAAGCCTGAGGGAATGTTTTCTCTCCACATGACTCTCCTTTGGCACACTCTAGGTCATTGATCACATCGCTCTGAGGAGCCATATTCTCCTTGATCAGAAAATGTGGAACACAACTGAGTTACATGATGTTACAGTGTAGGTTCTCCAATGTCCTGAGTCTTCACTGACCTTGAAAGTCTAGGGCCAATATGTTGGGTACTTTAGCAGCCCTTCTTTTTCTCTAATTTTTGGTCTGCAAACTTAGGTTCTTAACCCTCTAGAAGAGAAGCTTATTATTACCCTGCAAAATATGCAGTTGGGTTTAACCTCACTATCTGTCTGAATATCAAACGTCTTAGGTATACCATGGAACAGGTGTTTTCCATCTAGCATTGATATACTAAACTTTAAGGCTTTACACAATATGGAGAAAATCATTAAAAAATGTTTTTAAAATATGAATAGTTACATATTTTATACAGAAATTTAAAAATCTAACCATATACATTGCAGCAAGACAGTCCTGTGACATATTTTTTCTTGTCTTTTTTTCATTTATTAACCTTTCATTTAAAAAACCCAAACATTTACTTGAGAGACAGTATGACAATAATTGGTATGTCATGACAAGCAGTATCTATTTAGAAGATCAGAATACAGGCATTCCAAGCATAACCTTACCATTACACATTGCTATCTTCACTACAGTTGCTTAGTTCACAGGTATCAGTCTGTATAGTTAGTCAGAGCAAGAATCCTACCAATTAACTGCTAGTTTCAACAACATGCTGCAGACTCTCAGGATCCTCACATTACCCATCTATCTTGTGCATATAAATGTATGGCTTTGCCCTTATCATGCTTCCCAGCTTTTTTCCTTGCCCTCTCCTCATTGTCCAATCCAAGTTCTCTCTTTCCTTTTAATTGTGTTATACATTTTTATTTGTACTTTTTCTTTTGAGCCCTTATACTAGGGAGACTAAATGTAAATATATTTACATATATGGGTCTCATATGTTCCACTTATGAGTATATTTTCAAGTGGCATCCATTTAAATATAAATGTTTCTAGCTTATCATTCTTTATTGCTGAGTAATACTCCATTGTATAAAAATACCACATCTTTTTCATCCATTCCTCAGGTGATGGGAATCTTGGTTGTTTACAAGATTTGTTTATCACAAATTGTGCTGTTATACACATAGGTACACATATATCACTATGATATGACGTTTTCAGTTCCCCTGCAAAAACTCCCAGTAGGTGGATAGCAGGCTTGAATGGGATTTCCAGTACAAGTTTTTAAGGAGTCTCCACACTGATTTCCAAAATGGTTGCACCAGTCTACATTCCCACCAGCAG